AGAGAGACAGAGACAGAGAGACAGAGACAGAGAGAGACAGAGACAGAGAGAGACAGTGATAGAGACAGTGACTGACAGAGAGAGACAGTGACAGAGACCGAGAGAGAGAAAGAGAGACTGGGAGAGGAAAGCAAGATCCTAGTGGTTGTTTTTCTGGAGAACCCTAACACAATGACGTACCTCAAAAGAGTGTTTTCTAAACCACATTTCTTCACACATCACTGTGACTCTATTACCTCTACTCTTGTTTCCTTAGTATTTGTCTTTAAACCATCTTATTCTTTTACCTTAAAACAAAGGTACGTATCAGTACCATAAACGGAAAAGATCAACACAAAAAAAATAACAAAAACAAAATGATGAGCTTAAAGTCTAGCCTGATGCCATCACCTGCCAAAGACTTGGAGCCTGCCTGTCCTTCTCTTTTTATAGTGAGGGACTTCAGCAACTGTCCGGAGGCATTACTGAGGGGGCAGCGCTCAGCTAAAATTAGGTAAATGAAAGGACTAAAAAAGGAGTCACTCAACTTCTTAAAGGGCAAAAGATTTGAATAAACAGCTCTCTACACAAGATATGAAAATGGTCAATACATACACAAAACGATGCTCAACATTGTTCATTAGTCATTAGGAAAATACAAATCAAAACCACAATGAGATAGCACTTAAAACACACTAGGCTGAAATTTAAAAACAGACAATAAAACGTGTCATCAAGGATGTGAAAAAACTGGAACCTTCACACATTGCTGGCAGCATTGAAGAATGGTGCAGCAGCTTTGGAAACAGTTTCGCAATTCCTCAAAATGTTAAACATAGAATTATCATATGACTTAGCAATTTCACTTCTAGGTACACAGTCAAGAGAAATAAAAATATGCAACCACACAAAAACTTGCATACAAATATTCATAGCCTTATTCATAGAGCCAAAATGTGAAAACAACCTAAACATTTGTCAACAGATGAATGAATAAACAAAATGTGACATATCCACACAGTGAAATTTTTTTTTTCTTTTTCTTTGAGACAGAGTCTTGCTCTGTCACCCAGGCTGGAGCACAGTGGTACGATCATGGCTCAATGCAGCCTCAACCTCCTGGGCTCAAGATAGAAGAATGACTAAAGTAAAAAATAGTTGAAAAAAAATGCTGGAGAGGATTCAGAGAAGTGTGATTATTCATACATTGTTCATGGAAATGTAAAATGGTACAGTAACTGGAAAATAATACGGCAGTTTCTTTTAAAACTAAAAATGGATTGACCACACAATCCAGCAAGTAAATTGGGCATTTACCATACAGAAATGAAAACACATTTTCACCAGAAACTAGTACACAAATGTTCCCAGTAGCTTTGTTTGTAATAGCCAAAAAATACAAACCATCCAAATATCTTTCAACGGGTGAATGGAAAAAAAAAATCTTTGGTACAGGCATTACTATGGATTGCTACTCAGCAATAAAAAGGAGCCAACTATTGATACATGTTTGTCATGTATATGAACCTCAAGGAAGTTGTGCTGACTGAGAAAAGCCAACTTCAAAAAGATACATACTGCATGTTTCCATTTATGTAATATTCCTGAAATGACATAATTATAGAATGCAGAACAGGTTAGTGGTTTCCAGGGGTTAGAGATGTTGGGGAGAGGGGGTTAGGTGTGGCCATAAAGAGGAAGCAGAAAGGAACCTTGTGGTGATGGCACAGTTAAGTATCTTGATTGTGGTGGTAGTTACACAAAGCTACACATGTAATAAGATTTCATGCAACTACACACACACACACAAATGAGTACCTGAATAACGACTGAACTTTGAATAACGTCTATAAATGTTAATTTCCTGATTTTGATCTTGTAATATAATGAGGCAAGATGTTAACATTGGAGGAGGCTGGGGGATGGGTTCCTGGAACCTCTCGGCAGAGAGAAAGTTACAAAGTTACCTCTTTGTTTCTCTCTGCAGAGAGAAAGTTACAAAGTTACCTCTTTGTTTATCTTTGCAGAGAGAAAGTTATGGTTACCTCTGTAACCTAGTTTTGTGAATTTGTAATTATTTCAAAATGAAATTTGGGGCCAGATACAGTAGCTCAGCCTGTAATCCCACCACTTTGGGAGGCAGAGGTGGGAAGATTGCTTGAGCACAGGAGTTTGAGAACAGCCTAGGCAACATGGCAAAATCCTGTCTCTACAAAATTTAAAACTTATCCTGGTGTGGTGATGTGTGCCTCTGGTTCCAGCTACTCAGGAGGCTGAGGTGGGATACCTGAAGTGGGAGGATGGCTTGAGCCCAAGAGGTCAAGACTGCAGTGAACCGAGTGCATGCCACTGCACTCCAGCCTGGGCAACAGAGTGAGACTGTCAAAAAAATAAAAATAATAAAAAGCAAAATAGAGATTTTGAAAAACCTCATTGAATTCCCTAATTTCCCATCCACAGGTGTGAAAGCTAATCCTTCACTCTCAACACCAGATAATAATAATAATAAGCAACACTTATTGAGTGCTGCCTCTCTACCAGGTACTACATTTACAGCTTTCCATGGCTGGTCTAATTTACCCCTCACAGCAGCTCTATTATTACTTCTATTTTACAGTTAAGGAAACTGAGAATTACAGAGGTTAATGGCTATGGCCAAAGTTATGTGTTAAGAGGGCAAGCTTCCCACACAGGTACTCAGATCACAGAACACATGCACTGTGAAATCACCAGACTAAAAATTCACCCACTAGTCTTAGCCAAATGCATCAGGTTGAGATTTCATTATTCTCTACCTGAACCAGAAATTAATACAGAAGCCTATTGGCCCATCTAGCCTCCCAGACCCAAGGAGAAAAAAGTAATCACACCATACATGCTTGAATGGTAAACCACCCCAAACAGAAGGCAAGTCCCCAGTTCCTTTATGCAAAGATTTTAACTATTGTCTCCAGTTTGAATTCATAAACATTTGGTGCTATGGGTGAAATAATCAAGTACCAACTTACAAGTATTCAGTACCTGCTATGTGTTTGCCAGAGCATATTACATAAAAACATTAATTTGGAAATACCTATGTTACTATCGGTAATAATCTGTTTTTACACACCGCAAAGAAATACCTGAGACCAGGTAATTTACAAAGAAAAGAGGTTTAACGGACTCACAGTTCTGCATGGCTGCGGAGGCCTCAGGAAACTCACAATCATGGCAGAAGGGTAAGCAGACACATCTTACATGGCAGCAGGTGAGAGAGAAGAGAGGAGAAACTGCCACTTATAAAACCATCAGATCTCGTGAGAACTCACTCGCTATCACGAGAATAGCATGGGGGAAACGCCCCCGTGATTCAATGACCTCCCGCCAGGTCCCTCCTCCTACACGTGGGGATTACAATTTGGATTACAAATCCAGATGTGATTTGGATAGGGACACAGCCAAACTATATGACGATCCTCAATCTTTCACTTTCTAAAACAATTTCATTCAAATGCTTCATACACATCTTTAACTTCATCTAGCACAGGTTTCCAGAATATATTATCTTCAATTCTAAGTTACTTTTTAAATAATGTTTTTGAATCTGTATATAAATAATGCTGTTCCTGAAAAGCTCATCTCAAGCTAAAAAGGATCCATTTGTATCACATCAATAAAATTGATGATTTTAAAAAAGGCTCTATAAATCAGCAGTTCTTAATGCTGGCTGCAAATTAAAATCAACTGGGAAGCTATAAAATCTATTGATGCCTGGGCCTTTTCCCCAACATAGTGATTTTACTGAGCTGGAGCTGGTGCTAGGAGTGGCAGTTTCTAAAGCTCCTCCCATGATTCTAATATACAGCCCAAGGTGAGAACCGCCACTTACCTATAAGTAACGATTCCCACAAGTGAATTTAGTCGTTCTTGATTATACACAAGAATCACCTGGAAACCTTTGTAAGCAAACTGCTGCCCAGTTTTCACACCCTGTCAAAATTGTAATTTACCTGGGGTTAGGCCCCAGGTATTCTTTGTTTTAAAAACACTTCAACTAAATCTCACTTGCAGCCAAAATGGAGAACCTTCAATTACATTTGAGTGTGGCTTTACCTGTGGGCTTTGTTTAACTCACCATCAAATATTTAGGATGGTAAGGTCACATCACCCTTCCCTGCTGCCTGAATGGCCCCGCTGCTGTGCTGAATTCCTTTGCTTTCTTCTGTTTCTATTGTATCCAGTGACCTCTATATACATCAAGTATCAGCAGTGATTGAGAACATGTTAACCCAATGAGGCTTCCCCAAATACTAATAGTACTTGTTTGTCCTAAATAAAGGAATGGAGAGAGTGCCCCATAAGGTGAGAGATTTTGTCAGGACTCCAATACCAAGCAATTCCCTCTTTTCTAAAAGATAAAATGGGAAGAAAATATCACTTTATTTTTGCATATGTTATTAATACCTACCCTCTCTTGGAATGCTCACTACATCTAGGCACCATGTTAAATGTTTACCTGATTTCATTTAATACTTAAAAATGTATACAGGACATATAATTATTATTCCTGGCCAGGCACAGGCCATGCCTATAATCCCAGCACTTTGGGAGGTTGAGGTAGGGGGATCACTTGAGGTCAGGAGTTCGAGACCAGTCTGACCAACATGGTGAAGTCCCGTCCCTATTAAAATACAAAAATTAGCCAGGCTTGATGGCACATGCTTGTAGTCCCAGCTACTCGGGAGGCTGAGGCAGAAGAATCACTTGAACCCAGGAGAGGGAGGCTGCAGTGAGCCAAGATCGCACCACTGCACTCCAGTCTGGGTGACACAGTGAGACTCTGTCTCAAAAAAGAAAAAAATTGTTATTATTCCCATATTGCAGAGGGGAAACCCAAGTGTGAAGTTCCTTTGCCTAAGATTACTTACTACCCAGTGGGCAGACAGAGACAGAATGGTAGCCAGATCTACAGTGTCCAGTGCTGTACTGCCCCCTTCTGGCCATCCTTTAGGTGCTTCCTGAGGCTCCAGGACTGGTGATCCAGTGGACAGTCTGGTGGACAGTGTGGAATCGTGGTCAGCAGAACTGCTCCCTCCTCCTTGCTGTTGTGGTCCAGTCCAAACCCCCGGCCCCAACATTCCCTGGTTCCCAGCTCTGTGACATCACAGACAGCCTTCTGTCCACTCTGCTGGCTGCAGGTGAGTGGGGCTCACAGTTTAGACCTAAGGGCGAGAGGTGATAGTTTTTCTGTACTAAAAGGGATGTCTCCACCACTCCTGGATACCCATTCATTTTGCTACAAGTAGCAATCACCATCCCTCATTTGCTTTAACCTCACTTTTTCTCTCTCTCTGGGTCCCTGTCTCCACCTGTGCTGAATGACCCCATGTCCCCCTACTCACCCACCCACCAGCTCCAGAGGCCTTCCTGTTCGACCTCATTGATCTTTCTTCCTCTGATCAAAGTGCAGTGGGGTCACCAGAGACCTGAAGTTCACAGCCCACTGGGGACAACCCAAGGGGCCTCTTCTTTGGTTCCTGCTTCCCTCTAGAGGGCATCACTGGTAGTGCAGGAAATGCCACATACTCCTCTCGGCATCTCTCCTACGTATTCATCAACATCAGAATCTTCATTTGTATTTATTAAGCCTTTTTGACACATCAGAAAGCTGTGCTAAGCACTTTCCATCGTTATTTAATCCTCAGACTACCTTCTATTGTAGATACTATTACTACCATCCCCATTTTACAGGTCAGAAAACGGAGATTCAAAAAGGTCATAAATTCTTCTAAATTTCCTAGCTAACAGATCTCCAAGAATTAGACCCCAGAAAATATACTTGTAACTTATACACTACTCTCCCTAAGAGTCTTTTTGTTTCTGAAGAGGGTTCAAAACTTCAAAGCTCTCTGCTGTCAACACTCAGAGGAGAAAGTGGTTCTACTACACTCTTTCTTGCGAAATTGTCTAGTAAAGACGTGGAGAGAGCATCGGCGTGAGGTGCCAGTGTGAACCTGTGCTTCAAATCCCTTCTGACTCATAATATGGATGATCTCCACAGTATATTTTTAATTGAAAAAAATCAAGGTGCAAAACATGGTGTATAATAAGCTACCATTTGTATTAAAAAGAAAGAGAATTTGCATAACTATATTTTCTTGTATATTCATAAGCTGCTTTGGTGGAGGATGCCTCCACTGTATGAAACTAAAACTGAATTTATTTCTGTTTAAACGAGGGAGAAGTGTGCTTGTATGGCAAAGTCTCTGAACAAAGCTCATGGCTGATGTACAAGGGGCTTTTGGAGGTGTTGAGTTCATGGACTGGTGGTGTTTCATAGGCAGCCGTGCTTAGGAGTGCTAGACCTTTAGCTATGAAGCGTACCTCCCAGCATGCATCTGTTAGAATGGTTACCGAGGGAGTTTCCTTAATAGATTAAAGGGTGTCACACAGGTTCTGGAGATTTGGTGTTACCATGGTTACAGGGCAATTCATTGTTACCTAGGAATGTGGGAGCTTCTCTTTTTATTCTTATTCTCTGCCTTCTGGTCCTCCCGCAACCAAAGCCACAGAAAAGACCCTCCAAGATTGTCCAGATCTTCACCACTGCCATTGGCTTTCCTTGAAAACACAGTTCCATCTTTTCATGTACAGAGATCTGGTTTTCATTTTGTCAGTCTGCCTCATTTCTTCTCATTTTTGTCTTTGAATCATTTGTTGCATCATGTGTCATACCAGAGGCTACATAAAAGCATTCAGCTCTCTGGACAACAGAACCAAAAATGATAATTAAAAGTATTTTCAAAAGGATCTGAAACTCTCTCTGGAATCATGCCTTATGATTTCCCTGGCATGACCATCTACCTTCAATAGCCAGGCTGCTTTTACTTTGGGCTTAGCTATAGATTAACCTCACCTGTGATATTAACCCAGGCACAACAGGAAGTGTTAACAATGGTGCCGTCTCCCCTAATTAGCTAAAATCAAACCCAAAGGTTTCTATGATCCATAATTACTTGAGCTAAGGATTTCGAATTGGTCAGTTGTACCCTAGGATGTGGGCTATATGATTTACTATGTCAGTCAAGGTGAGGGGAAAAAAGGCACTTAATTATTCAACTCAGGACCCTCAGAAGTCTGTTTCATCTACTAGTAGTTAAAGCCCAAAGAAGGGTTTCATCCCTTCAGGCTCTCTATAAGAAGACATAGTCCGCTGTGGGTGCTGGAGAATCACGCACTGGGATGGTCTAAATATTCATCATGCAGAACAATTAGTCTTAATCATAGTTAGCATAGGAGAGTCTGATTTCCACATAAGAAACAAACCATATCAACAAGCAAGCAGCATAGCTGTTCATCTATATGTACAAACAATGCCCCTTGGGAGTTTAGAGACAAGACAGGAATGTTAAGTGCAAAGGTCTCAGAGAGACTCGGCAGACAGATACAGACAGCCGTCTTTCTGACAGGGAACACTAGTTCTCCCAATGGCCTTTCTGCATGCAGTAAGTGCAAGTGTTTTCCACAGGCTCCAGATTCTTAAAGAACAGAGAGATTTGGGTCCTGTCTTTATTTCAGGGGCCAGTTGTTTTATCTAGTAGGCCATAAGATTATTTTGATTTCTAATTAATATTTTAGGACTCTTTGAAAATGTCCAAGATACCTACCCTAATGGAATTTCCCATTCCAATTGATTTTTTTCTAAATCCCCTATTTTAGATACGAGCCTTTTGCATAAAAAGAAGAAAGGTCTCCTTTTACTTATACTCTTTATTTGCCCCCAAATCTTCTTTGAAAGTGTCCTCAAGCCTATTAAGTCACCTATGGATGCATCATTTTGTTTGTGATTTTGAATCTTTGCCCTATCTGCCCTTAAGAGAAAATCTTTTGAAATAGTTTCATGTGGAGTGCTTCCTATTTTTCTTACCTTCTCAAGTCCATTCTTTAATTCTTTAAAAAATAATGCATAGATGGGTTGTTTGAATCTTCTGATCTTTTTCATCCTGCTACTCTTAAACATTTTCCCCATTGTTGAAGGTCAACAATTTTTTTTAAATTTATTTTTGAGACAAGATCTCCTGCTGCCTGGGCTGGAGTGCAGTGGCATGATTATAGCTCACTGAAGCATTGATTTCTCAGGCTCAATCAATTCTTTCTCTTCAGCCTCTAAGTAACTGGCACTGCAGGTGCACACCACCATGCGCAGCTAATCTTTTTGATTTTTAGTAGAGATGAGGTATGTTGGCCAGGCTGGTCTCAAACTCTGAAACTCAAGCAATCTTCCTGTCTCAGCCTCCCAAAGTGCTGGGATTACAGGCGTGAGCCACTGCGCCTGGCCTGAAGGTCAACAACAAAATGAACTAATTAGTACAAATATGATAGTCCAAGACAATAAGTAATGAACAGAATCCTGAATTATACAGGATATACAAAACAAACTTTCTTTTGTTCTGAAATTTGAGAAGATTCTATTTTTCACTCAACTCAACTCTTACTCAGAGTTTAAATTCAGCCTCTCCGGATCTACTTTCAGTGTAGAAGTTTTAGGTGGGTATTGTGCTATGTGATTGTTCTTTTCTAGAAAAAAATGCTCCCTAAAAAAGTTTATTTAGGCAGCCAGGGGAAGGAATAAGAGAAGTATATATGGGTGGTAAAGATCAAGTCAGGTGGAGAGAGAAAGAGGGAAGCAATGAAAGTAGGTATCAGGAGGCTCCAGTAAGAGCAAGGTCTTTCTGTTTTGTTTTTTTCTTCCTGAGGCCAGAGCATTCCAGGCAAAGAACTCTTCTATTAGATGTTTGGCATTTTTGTCTTCTCTCTTCTCCAGAGTTCCTCTTAAATATGACTTTTGACATCAAAACTTTGTCATAATGGCTACGGCAATTCTAAGTCACCTATGAACTTTTGCCATTTATTAAGACAAATACATGAGAGTACCTATAGTGGTAGTATATATACAGAGTTTCTCCAGGAAAGGGCAACAACCTTAATGCAGACGAGACCATGACCAGCAGGAAAGACTACACTACAATTAATCAACAGTTTCTTCTTGTGCACCGTGTCTTGGATTTCTTGGCCAAGCAGAACCTAAAAGAGGCCATATGATCAGCAACGTGAAAATGACTGATTCCAGAATATAAGCTAAAAGAAAGTGACCTTCTTTTATGATTTACCAAGACAGAACACATGCTCATGAAGGTTTAGAGGGACGCAAGTCCAAGGTTTAGCGATTTCTTTTAGACAAATCAATTACCAATCCAACAGAACTCCAACCACTAGTTCTCAGGCTGACTCATGGTGGGGGCTTGTCAGAGCTATGCTTCCATTCCTTTCTTATGAAGTGTTTCCTTCTACATTCAGCATACTCAAGGCAGTCTGGAACAAGCCAAACCCTGGGAGGTAAGCATTTGTATAAGTGTATGAAGACAATTGAAACTAAAGCAAGTAGCAGAATAAGAAGCAGATTACTAGCAAGGCTATTTGCTAAATGGCACATCTCCAAAGCACAAGATCTAACTGTCTATATAAATTTCTATTTCTTTATAAATTATAGGAAAATGAAATAAATCCACTAAAGAGACCTCAGTGAAATACGTCAGAGCTCAAATCATGTTAAAAAAAAAAAAAATGGCTGGGCACAGTGGCTCATGCCTGTAATCCCAGGACTTTTGGAGGCAGGTGGATCACCTGAGGTCAGGAGTTTGAGACCAGCCTGGACAACATGGTGAAACCCCATCTCTACTAAAAATACAAAAATTAGCTGGTGTGGTGGCAGGTGCCTGTAATCCCAGCTACTCAGGAGGCTGAGGCAGGAGAATCACTTGAACCCGGGAGATGGAGGTTGCAGTGAGCCGAGATCATGCCATTGCACTCCTGCCTGGGCAACAAAGCGAGACTACATCTCAAAAAAAAGAAAAAAAGAAAAAAAAACACTATGACACTGACACTAGGTCTATGAGGGAAAAAAAAACTCACCTGGCAGCAGATCCAGAAGACTATTGGTGACTGGGGCTAAATGGACCTAGTGAGTGCTCCCACTTCATCAAAAAAATCCACACAATGGAGACACCTGTATGTGTCCATCCTGCATTGTACCTAACCACGTGGAACAGCTTATGCACAGAAAGTTGAAGATCAATTAGTGAAAAAGAGAAAGGAGATCTGTTGGGCATATAGTTTTTATCTGACAGTCAGAGAAGGT